GACGAGGATCGAGGAGGTCAGTAAATTGCTTCCGCAGGGCCTTTGGACGAGGTTAGGCCGTCTTTCCATCACTGAACTTACAATAATGAAGAACAGTAGGTCACGGAATACACTCTGTGAGAACGAAGATATCATGCCTGCGATGCTATGGTACCTATCCAATTCCACCGTTTGACACAGCACTAGTTGCAATTTCAAAAACACAGCTTTCGCAGCATACAACGCAGTTGACAGATTAATTTTCATCCACTAGAAATCTTTGAAGCGATACCTATCAACTTCAGAACATTGATGACCGAATATCCCAGTTTGTGGTGCCATTTTAAAAATGTGTTAAAAAATGACACCAATTATTTGAATCCTGAGAATACTACAATGTATGAAAGTAGGGCATGATTCAAGACACTTTCCAAAGTGGGATCATTCCCATTTTTGACACAACGGGCATGAAGGATAGCATTTCCACTCGCAACAATTCAGTTGGACGTAGCTTGTCTAGAAGTGGCTGAAAAAACGTCATTTTACAAGATCAGTCTATTCTTATGATCTTATTCTTTCATTCAACCTCATCTGCCTCCACTGATGAGCTCAGGAGGAGCGGAACAGCTGTCTGGAGGGTCATTGTCAATATCAATCTATATACATGTACCGGAATTGTCCTCGCTGTCGTGATGGTGATGTGAGTGCAGAGTTTGGATCATGCAAGGTGGTGTGGTGTATTGGATTCCATAATGGCCGGGTACTCGCTACTTCTTCTCAATTTTACAACCATGTTAAAAAAAGCCAAATCACCTCATAGATCTACTACTACTTACTAGTGGAGTGCTGTAGACAGGACTACGTAGGTCTACGTACTAATACTAGACTGGAGTGTAGTGTACGAGCGACAAAACAAACGAAAATCGAATCGCCAGAAGAAAGCGATGTCGACGTCGACGATGTTCGACGACGTCCATCCTATCCAGCGATATGTGCGATGGCAGCGAATCAGCGATCAGCGACTGACTCATACTGCGCTGAGTCAGCTCAGTGCGCGTGCAGCCGTGCACTGAGTCTGTGCATGTGCTAGTCTGTCTTTGGTCGGAGCACAAGAAAACCCCATCTGTCGAGTGGGGAAAATAACCCGAGCACGCTCGAGTCGTGTCATTCCCTACCTCCATTCTCCAGTATTCACGACTATCGCATGGGGCACGCTGATACGATCGAGTCTTTTACCCTTGACGTGAAGAGGTACATCGAGGCTCCAAAATATTCGTGATCATAGATCGTACACTTCAGATCTGCGCAAGATTTTTTCAGGGTCGGGGCTGTGCGCGCGCTGTGGCGTGCCTGTTTTCTGGGCGAGCAGGAAACGACGTGGCCCTTTTCTAGCTCAGTACATGCAGGCAGTAGTGTTGTCAGTTTTATTTTGTTTTCATTCGCCATAGCCCGCTTTACCCTAGCACCAAGCACCAGAAGTCGAAGAGCCAGAAGGAAGGTGTCAATCACTAGTGGACACATTTGTACTAAAATAATAGCAGCTTCTCGGTGATATGCAAAGTCAGTGATCGCTCTAGCGCAGGAAACTGGAGCTGGGGAAATCGTTTAGTGCCCCTGCAGTCTTGTACTTGTAGAAGGTGCTGGCTCCATTATTTTTCTGCGTTCGTCGAGAATTAGCACTGATCAGTGATAAGCTTCCGCGGCCGCGAGCAGCAGGTGTTGGTGTGAGTGCCGGAGAGAGGTTCGCTAGGCAGCGTGCTGTGATCATCTCCAGCGCGGTGGTGGACGGTGAATTCTCGTGCAGTGCACTGGACGCTGCGGGGGCAAGATGGCTTACCACCACGACCCCATGTCGTCCGGTAATTCAGATCTTGTTTGCTTGTGTGGACCTGATCATCTTCCCGTTTGGATTTTGCGAAGTAAAACAATAAAAAAACCATGAGATATGGATTTCCCATCATTCACAACGCTAATTCTGTCCTCTACTGAGTGCCAGCACGCTCTGGCAGAGAGTCCATGTCTGTCCTGACCAGGGGATGAGTTGGCGATGTTGTTGCTAGTTCGAAGTAGGTACATGCATGCATCCAGTTCATCAGGCCTGCATGGCCGCCTGTTCCACCCATCTTAGACTGTAGAACAGCCCATGACTCATGAGAAACTGCGCACAGAATATTTTTGATCTTCAGCTGTCACTTGGTTCACTGTAGGGAAATGATCTGAATGTGATCGGCCGTGAATACAGGCTGTGTGTGTGTGTGTGTGTGTGTATGTGCAGGGGGGGGGGGGGTACAGGCAGACTAAAGAGGTTATGTGAAAGATGCCTTGATGATAAAGAGATTTCCAGAATCGCTTATGGGCGTTATGTATATGCCAGTGAGGCGCTAGTGCATAGCTAGCACGTGTTGTGCCGCTACCTCGCAGAAGCATCTCAACTGATGGTGTTATCGCATAGTCTCAACAGGCTAGGCTGTGAAAGGCTGCACAGCCATTTCTTGATTGTACAGATCATTTCACCGTGACCCAGTCTTCAGACAGTGTTCACAGTTCAACCCCTATTGGCACATCAAGTGCTAACTTAGGTACATATTACTGAGTCATTACTGAGTCAAGTTGTGGCAGCAAGCAATGCAAGTCATAGTATATCTAGTACTGATTTTGTTTGTTTGTATACTTTATTTCATTTTGAAGGTTTTTTGTAATGATTGCCGGGATACGAGCAAAGCAGCACAATCAATTTTGCTGTTCTCTTTTTGAATTCTTTGCTCTCCCTGCATTCATATCATCAGTGGTTTGTGCGTTCAATAAAACACCGTTTAGTAGCAAGGCAGCACACAGCAAACATAATGCGTCTGCCATGTACACCGAAGGATGTACCCAGAGTGCTGACAGTGCTCAACATCTGCCATGTACAGTGCTGGCAACTGAAATCCGACCCTTAGTGGTGCGTCCTCATCCTAGCGGTCCCTATTTCGTAGTTTTACCATCCCGTGTTGGGCCTTTGCGATGTGAGCGCACCGCTCAGGGGGTCGGATTTCAGTTGCCAGCACTGTACTGGTAGCTACTTGAAACCTTTCGTCTCCAAGTAACTGTCACGCGCGGTGTTTGGCTTTCATGAGGAGTTACAATTCTTTCACTTTTCAAGTCCACTGTACAGTGAAACCTGTCTAAGACAACCGCTCAAGGGACTTTCGAAATGTGGTCTCCTTATCCAGGGTTTTGACTTGGAATAGCATCCCTTGATCCTGGTTTCAGTGGTCTTCTTGGGCAGGTGGTCGCCTTATCCGAGTGGTCGCCTTGACAGGTTTACAAGTAACTGGCTATTTGTCATCTCTCTTTCTCTCCAGTTTTTACAAGCCAGACATTGGGAAAGTCTTCCAGTTCCACAACGAGCATTGCCGCGCAGCATTTCCTGGATATCAGTGTGTAAGCGATGACGCAATGTAGAACAATATAGGTAGATGATGACGTAATATGGATGATAGTGTAGTGAAGTGATGATGTAATGTAGAATAGTATAGGTAGATGATGACGTAATATGGATGATGTAGTGAAGTGATGATGTAATGTAGAACAGTGGAGTGAAAAGGTGATGTCGCATAGAACAGTGCAGTCAAGCGATGATGTACTGTAGAACGATGTAGTCAAGTGATGACGTCGTATGAAAAGGAGGGTGTAAGTGATGATGCATTATGGACCAGTGAAGTCAAGATACGGGTATCGTTTGAACTTTGTATCCCTGTGCGTTATGTTCTCCGCAGTGGGTATGACTTCCGTGCAATGTGGGACATTGACTTTCTACGCGTGGCCGAGGATCTGGGCTGTCTGCTTGACGAGGAGAGCGCGGACCGGATGATGGTGGTTCTCTTAATGCCCATCAAGCCGCAAGGCGTGGACACTGCCGTGGCGCAGTATCAGCGTACATTGAACAGCGCTGGTAGTCATCAACAGCGCAGCATGCTCTTTGCCACGATGCACTACTGGAAGACCAAATCTCCCCAGCCGTGCTTTGGTGTCGACATCTTCGAAGCATTATACAAGGAATTTCCCGGAACGGCGACACGCTGTAGAGAAGTATTAGGGGTAAGTTGGCAATGGTCTGCTATGCATGATCAGCCGCACTGGTACGCACACTGAACTGGTCTGTTATGCATGATGAACTGCAGTACTATCGGTCGCCGAAGAACTGGGGGAGTCAGCCTCCTAGCCTAGACCGTTCTTATTTTCAAGTATTGCAGTCTATGGACAGTCGAGTCACCGTGCATACATTGGTATACGGTGCTTGGTGAAATCCTAGGCTGGTCGTTCTTCAGCACTCCGTTCTTCGGCACTCGACAGTGCTGTAGACTCTAGCAGGCGCGCATCCCGTGTATAGTCGGTGCAGTCCGGTCATCACACGGGAAAATGGCCATCATGCGTACAGTGAAACCTGTCTAAGACGACCGCTCAAGGGACCTGCAAAATATGGTTGCCAGGTGGTCTCCTTATCCAGGGTCATTTTTACTAGAAATATATTATAGCATCCCGTAGTCCTGGCTGCAGTGATCTTCTGGGAGAGGTGGTCGCCTTGTGGACGCCGTGACAGGTTTTACGGTAGTCAAAATAGGCAAAATGGCGGCTATGAGGTTGCCGGAGATACATGGTCACCACACCACAGATGTACTCTGGTACATTCACCGTCATTGCACCACAGATATGCTCTGGTACGCCCCGGGCTGTGTCATGTGTGATCAACTGGCCTGCTATGAATGATCAGCAGCGTTGCACATTCTTTGACCACAGCGGTACCGCGAGCGCACCACTTCTCATCATTGGTACCCGGCACTTGGAATGTGTGATACGTATGACTATTGATGATAGGTATCATACTGCTGTTTGTGTGTGTGTGCACGTGTGTGGGTGCGTGCATGTGTGCGTGCGTGCATGCGTGTGTGCCCATTGTGTGTTTGTGTTTGTGGGACGCTACAGTTGGAGATGACATCCAGGACTGACTTGCGCTACCTAAGGGCGCATTCAGACTGGCGTTAATAGCCGCCGGAATGCTGCAGCGTAATCCCGGGAATCGCAATCACACTGCGCGTGTATCCCGCTGGAATGGCGAGTACATGTGAAGCTTCGACATTTGAAAAATTTGAGTTGACTCAGTTTGAGTTGGATATCAAAATAAACCAATTCAGTCTGTTGAGATACTGGATCATTGTGCTTTTGCTTGTGCTTGTCGACGGAAAGAATACTATGTCCGGAGTGTTTGGTGCTTGGGTGGCATTCATCCGCTCCGCGATCAGAGTATGCTTCTCGTTCGCAGTAAGCGTTTTGCCTGCAGAGCAGCCCGCAAAAATCACCACGTACAGCTCCATGAACTCCCCCTCTGAGTCGAACAAAGATTTCGGCATGATGGGAGAAGTTGGCAGTCTAGAAGTCAAAACTCCAAACTCAAAAGCATGCATTCAGACTGCAAGAGTAGAGGCTGAAATAAACGAAAAGACGGAACTTGTGCTGCAAGGATATCAAAAGCGCTCCGCGTGCCGCCGGAATCTGCATTCCACTGGCCTGCGGAGTGGTGGGAAACCTTTTCCGTGTTTACGCTGGCGGGAACGTCACGTGAGCGATTCACCTTGACAACTTTCACATTCCGCTTGTTTTTTTACGCCAGTCTGAACGCGTCCTAACCCAGCTAACACCACCACCCACTGCGGGTCTAGCTACTGCACAGTGCTCACAACACTGGGGCAGCAGCGGCAGCAGCAACGCAACCGCTAGCACGGCCGCTACTCTGCGCAACGCCAGCGAAAGCAGCGCAAGTCCGCATTTGCCACCTCCATCGTCACGGCAACCACGACCACGACCCGGGTCTTGCCTGAACATCGCCGACGTCAATACACAACTGCAGGCTACGATGAACTGTATCGGACTGCTAGACCGCGTCTGTCAGGGTGAGCATTCCAGCTGGGTGCAGCACCCTTGTCTGTGGGACGGCGGTAACCCGGGGAACCAGCGTCTAACGCACGCACTGCAGCAGCTGGTTGACTGCAGCCAGGAACTGCTAAGTCACATGACCTGCATCCAGCAGGCTCAGAGGTACCATGATGAAGTGCAGGCGGCCCAGGGCAGTGGTGGTGGTGGTGGCGCGGGGGTTGGTCAGAGACCTGAGCTGGACGGCAGCCAACCACTGCCTCCACCGTACGCATTTCAAGCGCAGCCGGAAAGCGTTCATGGTGGAATAGTTAACGGCATGGCTCAGCCGGAGACACGGCGATACGGTATGGGAGAGGCCAGTCGAGCTGCTTCGGCCTACGCGAACACGGCAAATGACGGAGGTCAGCGAGAGCATGCCGCCGCCACCACCACCACTGCTGGACCTGAGCAACGCTACTCACAACGGGCGCCAGCAGCATCGGCGAGACACGACACCGGTGAGTGACTGTCTGGACCGTTGCCTTTCTTTCTGTGTGTGTGCGTGTGCGTGTGTGTGTGTGTGTGTGTCATGCAAAGTCATAATTCAAATAGGTGTATGGATTGTAGCCGGAGTACATAACCCCCAAGAGTGTGCAACTGCCTGCACAACCTCTATGCAGTGCTGCGGTGGCAGAACTTCACATCCCGTGACATGGTTCGAAAATAGCCGAAAATAGATATACGTAAAAAAGAGAAGAAACACATGAGAACGAGTTATGCAGCAACTATCTACGACTGTAACAAGACGATAAACGGTCAGAAAGTGTCTCAGTAGCCTGTCAGTTTTGTGCCATAGTATCGGACTTTCTGACCGTTTACCATATTGTTACAGTCGTGGATAGTTGCTGCATAACTCGTTCTCAGGTGTTTCTTCTCAGTCTTTTTCTACATTTTATTACTGGCTCATTATCCGAGTTTAAATAAATATGCGCTGAATGATTAATGTTGTTGACCTACAGTATGTAGCCATCACCAGTACCAGCACACACACTACTGCCGTAAAGTAAGGTTGATCCCCCCCCCCCCCCCCCCACGCCATGTCGCTTCCCAGCTAGGTTTTCGGCAGGGGACGGGAATTGGATCAAGGCTGTCAAGTGCAGTGCGATGTACAACAACTTGGAGGATCAGACTCGATGTGCTAAATCGTGCACATTTTCACTCCTGGATTGGCACATATTGTGTACAGCAGTGCAAGCGTCGGTTCAAGATCGTATTCTCGTCGTATACGCCGAAGTCGCTTCACAGGTAGAAAATCGACAGGGGGCGGGAATTAGAGAGGGGGCGGGAATTAGAGAGGGGGCGGGAATTAGAGAGGCGGCGGGAATTAGAGAGGGGGCGGGAATTAGAGAGGGGGCGGGAATTAGAGAGGGGGCGGGAATTAGAGAGGGGGCGGATCAACGGTACTACTACACTGGACTGCACCACAGTTGTGGCAGCTGAAATCCAACCCCAATTTTTTCTGCTCGAGTGCGGTACCGATTCTAGCGGTCTCTATTTTGGTACATGTAGTGTTACCAGCGCGTGCTGGGTTTTTGCAATGTGACCGTAATGAGCTGGGGTCGGATATCAGCTACCACCACTGTACTAGGGGACGCACCAAATGAAGATGGCATCAACGAAAAAATTACTTTGCTTAGTCCATCGACAATGCTCTGCCTCAATTTCTGGCTTTCTTTCTTTGAGTGGAGAAAATAAACGTACGCAAGCTCCACTGCAGCCACTTCAGTACATGAAAACCCCACACACACCATCCTCAATTCAAGTGGTCTCTTCTTGAGAGAATAAATTAGAAAAAAATCGCTCTGGGAAGCGACAATTGTAATGAAGTGGCGGAGGTACAGCAGACACTATCTTGTCTTTTTCTCCACATGCCATGCACAGATATCACGGTACGAGGCCTCACGGAGAGCGTTCAGCACATGGACTTCAGCAGCCACAGCCCGTCGCCACGCCAACGGCCACCACCGGTGGACACGCAGGCACAAGCGGCGTCGGCTGACCCAGGTGATGATTCACTGTCAGACCCGGCGGTGATGGGGGCGGCGGCGTTGGCGGCGCTGCCAGACTTTCATGAGGACTTGCAGGACGCAGCGGTGACGTTACCGATGTGTGTCAACGACCCCAGCGTGACCAGTTGTGTTCTAATCGGCAGCAATGCAGTCATACCGCAGAGCATCGAGGGTCTGGACTGCGAGAGAAAGGAATGCATTCAGTGAGTGTGTGGCCGTCGTCGCTGCTGCCGTCATATCTTGTCTTGCTGGGGTTTCTTGCTGGGGTTTCTTGCTGGGGTTTCTTGCCGGGGTGTCTTGCTGGGGTTTCTTGCTGGGGTGTCTTGCCATGTCTCAGCAGCCGGTCGTGTGTACCAGTGTACTTTGAAACATCTGAACTGCGGACCGACCCTGTGGGGACTGGTTCCATCTGACCTGCATCGCCTAGGACGCCCAGACAGATCTGGCCTGCATCAGCCTGAGCAGGGGGTTGGTCAGGGGTAGGGGGTTGGGCAGTATTTCTCTGATATCCTAAACTAAAGCTTTCAAGCAGGCTCTCCCCATACCCATAATGCGTTATGCTCCACCGGCCTAGTGTGTGTGCGTGCATGTGTGTGTGTGTGTGTGTGTGTGTGTGTGTGTGTGTGTGTGTGTGTGTGTGCGTGCATGTGCATTTGTGTGAATGCATGCATGCATGTGCACGTGTTTTTTTTACACATCCTTTTACACACAAACGTGTGCGTACACACAGGGGCCATGGCGTAGACTTCCAACTGGTAAGTACGGGAGAGGTCAAGCAGATTGCCGAGGACCTAGAGCATCACCTGACTACTGACCAGCAGCACCAGCTAGCCAACACACTGATGCGCCAGATTAACATCAGCACCGGAGCGGTGGATGTGATCGAGGGCAAACGCGCGGGTGACTGCACTACCGACCAGCATCGCGGATGGTCGTTTCTGGCCGTGCTGCTGGACGTCTGGGGCCCCAATGTGCTGGATACGCATGCCACGGGCAAGGTGGTATTTCAAGCGGTACACACGATATCAGAAGAGGCAGCCACCTACTGTGCAGCCGTACTCAAGGTAAGCTTTCAACACTAGCTGCTCTTGCGTTCAGGTGTCCGTAGTACATGTACAGTGCAGCAGGAGCGTAGCAGGCGGTCCGGCCGGTCCGGCGGCTTTGGCTGGACCACTTTTTCATCCGACCACTGCCAAAAGTGCCCAGAATGCAGGATTTTGCACCGTAATTTCAAAGTTTTCACCGGGGGAGACCCACGGACTCCCTCCTGCCTGACCACCTACAACGATGCTGCTACGCGCCTGGGTAGGCATGCAAGATTCTAGACTCGAGTCACGTAGCGATGCTTTATGCACTCACCACATTTAGTATACATATTACCTGTATGGGGTTCCCCGCACATCCAGAGTGCATGACCTGGTGACCCTAATTGGGCATACCTGGTGGTCACTTTGCCTCTCTGGCATGCATTGATATCCTGTCGTTCATCTTTAGTTTCATGGTTCTTTGTCTAAAGAGACATCCTAGTGACAATGGACTGAGTGTGCTGGTGACTCAGACTGTCTAGTCACCACATCTAGCGCACGGAAAGAATCAACTACCAGCCATCATGTTTTCTCAATGAGTTCACTGAATTCAATAGTTCAACTCTCTGCTGCTCATCAGCATGTACTAGTCTATGGTTGTGTGTGTGTGTGTGTGTGTGTGTGTGTGTGTGTGTGTTTATGTGTGTTCACGTGTACTTGGTGTGCAGTTCCCGCCAACATCTTCGCCGACATCTCGAACATAGCCCGGTGCATTGAGACTAGACTGTGCTGGCAAACCAGAAGCCTGGCTGCGGCATACGGAGGAGCATCTCTATCTGCCGACGAAGTGTGAATAGGTGTGTTGACAAGCTGACCAAGCTGTTGTGGAATCCCTGACCACGCTGTTGTGTTGTGGAACCCCTAACCAAGCCATTGTGGAATACCTGACCAAGCCGTTGTGGAATCCCTGACCAAACTGTTCTGGATTTCGTACTGTCTGGTCATTCACGTCAAACCGTGATTGTTCCACAAGTCAGCTACCATCACTGTGTGTGGATGTTAGCAGTCATGCATAGGCCCAGGACATGATACGCGTGACTACTAAGTTATGCACTGGCCTACGCCACCACTAGGTCTAGGGTGCTCACTGGAGACCGTGGATAGTAATCGTGCAGTTGACCAGACTCCCTGTTCCCAACTAGACTAGACTAGTCTGTATCGTTTACTGATGCACCTCTTCGTTTTGACAACTTTTCACCTGTTTTAAAAGCTTTCGTCAATTCCAGTATTTGTAATTTTATTTGCCGCCTTGGGGGCCCATAGCAACAATGTTGAGTCTCTTGCATCCTAGCCCTGGTTTTTTTTTAAATTCGACCCTCGCCGCGCCACGCGCCTTCGTCAGCACGACTATTCTTGATGCTCGCGCGTTTCTGTGCCCGTGTCGGATGAGAGAAAAAAATGATGTGTTCTTGATGAGCTGACTGCTCTCTTGCCGAGCACCTTCCTAATACGGTGGTGTCTGAAGTCATCGATACCTCGCTTGATGTATAATTTTACGAATCACTGAGTCTGTACACAGCCGAGAATACGTGTGTGCAGGCATGTTAGCAAATCTATAGGGGTGCATATTATACAGATCTTGGCAAAGTGTTCTTTCTATGCCATTACACATTGTGGCCTCTCTCTCTATTTAACTAACCAGGTTTTTTAAGATAAAGAAGATTGCACAATTTGAGCAATACATGATGACATTGTATACCTTGTGTGAGCATGCACGTGTGTGTTTGTGTGTGTGTGGGGGGGGGGGGGGGTGTTGGTGTGTATGCACGTGTCTGTGTGTGTGTGTGGGGGGGGGGGGTGTTGGTGTGTATGCACGTGTCTGTGTGTGTGTGTGTGTGGGGGGGGGGGGGTGTTGGTGTGTATGCACGTGTGTGTGGTGGTGGAGGCATGTATAGTGCATTTCTCGCTCTCAATACGGTGCGCTGAGCCTGAGGATGTGTTGTCCATGCAACACAAGCTGGTTTCTTGTCCTCTGCTTATTTGGAGCCCATGGCTGTTTTGTCCGTGGGGTGAGTCTCTGTGTACATGTACTGTACCACAAATAGAAGTCACACCTTCTCGGGCAAAGACGGGGATGCGACTTATAGGCTTAGTCGAGTGTTAAATCCTACTTATGAAGTTATGTCCTTCACAGCTGAGACTTTCAGCTCGTGCTAGTCTTGGTTGCGCTCACCTTCCCCTCCTTATGTTATTTCTACAACTTAGAACCTTCCACGGTGGAAGGCTGTTGGAGTGCGCATCCGTGATGTGCTAGAGCTGATTGCCAGTTAGGTGTAGACCGTCAGTACCGTCGGTCAGTGTCGTGCAATGTTACCGCATGAGCTGATTGTAAAGTAACTGATGGTGTTAGTGGATAATGTAGCGTAACTTGTACAAGTTGTAGCTCTTTGGTCCTCTTTTCTTCGTATAAATGATGTGAATAATTGTATTGAAACAATATTGCTCAGACCTGAAAGTGGGGGGGGGGGGGGGCATGACTTACAATCGAGTGTAACTTACAATCGAGTGCAAAATACAATCGAGTGTAAGTTACAATCGAGTGTAACTTACAATCGAGTGTAACTTATAATCGAGTGTAACTTACAATCGGGGAAAGACGGTACTTGTCAAGTACGTGTGTCTAATCTTCGGTCATCTATGGGTCAGTCACTAGTCACTAGGCATTGCACATGATCACCTAGGAGTAGCACACATGGTTTTAATCTGTGTAACTGTTTACGTCATTCCTCCTCCTCTTCCCCTCCGGGCTCCAGGCACTATTACGTTCTCAAACACATCGCCTCCAGTACTACTGGGAATCAGTCATATACAAAGTATGGCTCGGAGCTGTGGAGCAGTCGTGTACAGTGCTCCGCTAGCATAATATCCATGGTGATACTAGAACATCTCCATGGTGATGCTAGAACATCTCCATGGTGATACTAGAAAGTATCCGTGGCGATGCTAGAAAGTGCTAGGATAAGGCATGGTGTCCAAATGGATAAAAAAAGAAGGAAGGAGCATGGCTCAAGCAGTGGCAGTGGCAGTGGCAGTGGTGGTGGCAGCTATGGAACTAACTTACTGTGTGAGCAATAATAATAATAGGACTGGATATTTATCTCTTTCTGGTCTCCGGCGGCTCTCCCAACATCTCATCCAGCCAATGCACACATGCTGGAAAAGGCAAGCTGCAGCTAAACGACAATGGTTACACATGCACACATGCATGCAAATGCATGCATGTATGCATGTGTAACCATGTTGCATGCACACATGCATGCAAATGCATGCATGTGTGCATGTGCCAAGAAAGACATCTACAGGCACTAGGCTAGCTGAAGGTCTGTGCTGCTGGATATATGGGCAGCATCAAGAGCGATACATTCTCTCACAGGCGACCGTTTCCGACGGTGACCCGCACACGCATAAGGTTACGTGCACGGCTATTGTGCTATTCAACAACCTCACAGGTGCAGAGCAGAGGAAAGCACTTGCGAATGGCTGCTGCGATATTATACAGGCTACATGCAGTCTTGTCACGGAATGCAACGAATTATCAACTCGAGCTACTGCACTACTCTAGTGTGACTGATATGCATGCTATGGCCGCCTGCATGCTATGGCCGTCTGCATGCTATGGCCGTCTGCATGCTATGGCCGTCTGCATGCTATGGTCGTCTGCATGCTATGGCCGTCTGCATGCTATGGTCGTCTGCATGCTATAATCGTCTGCATGCTATGGTCGTCTGCATGCTATGGTCGTCTGCATGCTATGGCTGTCTGCATGCTATAGTCGTCTGCATGCTATGGTCGTCTGCATGTTACTTAAAATCAAGGGCTAGGCAAGCGCTACTTTCCGGTGTGTACCTCTTGTGTACTGCACTCTGCCGGTCACCGGCATCAAGTAATCTAGCAGTCGAAGGCACACTGCCTCTGTGTAGTCCAGAGTTTGTAACAGAGGGTACGGCTCAAGTGTTCATATCAAGATCCAAGGTCAGCAGCTATCAACAGCCAGTGTCAGCAGCTAGAGGCTACTATCATTTCGGCATCTCGTATGGCAAGTATTGTCACGCGACGTGACGTGGACTTCAAGACATCGTACGCTCTGTGGTAGCAGAGACACCGAACACAGGGATAACAGGATAGGGAGATTCAGATTACGACCAGTCCAGGGTGAATGCGAACAGCTCTCCAATAGGCGAGGTGAGGATATACAGCCAACCTCATGACTAACGAGCTCTGGTATGACGTCGGCTCGTGAATAACGGCACGATCTTCAGACCTAGTGGTCATTTGACTGCATACCTTCAACCTCCCAGTAACGACAATTTTTTTCATGCATGATGGAGTGTCGTTAGTGGCAAGGTCGACCATACAAGCAGTGGCTAGACGACTAGCTTGAGGATGCATAACATAATGCATGGCATAATGCCTGATATAATGCATGGCATAATGCATGCAGGAGCGTGGGTCGCACATCGATGGTGTGGCGACAATATAATATAACAGCACATCTGTGGTGTGGTGACCATGTACCACCAGCAACCTCATAGTCGCCATTTTGTATATTTTGACTATCTATGACGACCATCTGCTGGTGTGGTGAACGGACTACACTGCTACTCGCATGGCATGACAAAGTGCATTGAGGGACTTGTCACGGGCCGGGATCACAGCACACAAGGCTATGCAACCAAAGTGGATGTGCAGCTGTAGCGACGGCGGTGACATCCAATGTAATTAATGCATCAACGCCATGCTCTAGTGGCCACTTCGGTGTTTGCTGTGCTGCCGAATGTGCCCATGCTGCACTGTGCATACCCACTGCTTGGTTGCCCGTTGAACAAGCGGCGGATCCAGCGGTCTCTACAGGGGATTCCAGTTTAGTCAAAACTGAATAGCGATACATGTAGGTGCTCATGCATGTGGCTTCCAGTACAAAATTTAGGGGGTTCCGCGGAACCCCTGGAACCCCTCCTGGATCCACCCCTAGGTTCACCCTTATACAGTGATTTCATCAATGATGTCATCGATGATGTCATCGGGTTTCACATGAAGTCGCTAGCTGTAGAACGCAGTGTCAGTCAGGCTGTAGACGAGCATGATGCAGGGGTGTCTCGGAAGGTATTCAATATTAGTGCGGCCATGAATGGGTGGACGGTCCAGGGGGTCCTCCCTCGGCAAATTGTTTAGGGAAATTGGGCCCAAATAGCCCCTTTTTATAATGCTTCAAAAGTCACAAGATGAAGTCATCGATGCGTCTTTGGCCGCACCTGCTGCACCAGTTCCGACGACCCTGTGATGTCATGCTGAAGAGGGAGGGTGCCAGTGACTGGCGACTGTTTACTGTGAGTATGTACAGCTAAGCTGTGTTTTGGGCAACATTACCAACGCAGGCCAAGACCAGCACGTCGATGGATAATTTTGTTGCTAAGATCTCTGCTCAATTATAGGTTTCATGTACTTGGTCCGACTTATTAAAATGTGCGTTTCGCTTCGAACGTCAACCAAACAAATTCAAATAATCTCAGGACGGAATAAACTTTCCAGCTACCTAACCCTATCCTTCAGTTGTCAATTTGTGATGTTGAAGAAGAAATGGCTCCGACTCCAAAGGAGGCAGTGGCTCAGGATCCTAGTCGACTCGAGCATTTTGCGTTAAAATTTTGTCGTCAGAGGACTCCTGTTGCTTCTCGCGCAACACAGAGAAGGCCTGGAGCTGAAATCAACACCCCACTGCGATGGGGGATAGTCACGGAGTACCAGAAACTCCTGGGCGATCGTTCTCGAGTGCCTCCTGGCGGATTGAAATCGCTGCAATCGCTCTTTCCTTGGCAGAATTTCAGCAATCGCGTCATCCAGAAACTCGTGCAGACAGCACCCCAATCGCTCCTTCCAGTTTGCTGATCTCTCTCGCAGTCGTTCACGATGATGCGGCCGACGAATCAAGATCACAGAAGAGATCGTCGAGAAGTTAGTTGATCGAAATAAATACCCGGCCTTGAGGTCGACTTTCAGGCGACAACCTGGCTGGAAAACTGAAGCGCAGAAAGGGTAAATTATCCGGCGGATATGGTGCTGAGTCCTCGGGGCCGCGATCGCGATGCGTCACAAGATCGCCGGTCTCCGGGGCCAGTGGATTCGTGAAACAGGCAGGGAAGAGCACGCATGGTCTGACTGCATGCCATGCCGACACAGATCAGACTCAAAGTGACAGTATGCGCGCGGCACACTGCACGGTGATGAGAAGTGATTTTTTACACGCCGTGGTTTACTTGTTTGCCTCATTTGAAGGTGTCGTGGGAGCGTCAGGCGAAAACACCTACAGCCACCATTCTGGCAGTCGTACTGCACGAGGAGGAGGCGAAGTCGATCATCTAAATCGTGCCTATGGAGTGATAAAATCAAGGAAGCGCAGTGTAGCTTGGAGGAGATGAAAAAATGTCGACGTTTTGCAGGTTGATGCACTTGCAGATGCGCCCTGAGACACCAGCAGCGATGAAAACTAGAAGGTCAGGCCAAGAAACGACAAAGTAGTTATCTATCTACCGTCTCTTGGTTGATTTTTTAGTACAGGTGCTCCTTTGTACATATGCTTGAGTTTTGAAGTGAAGCGCACATTTTAATAAGTCGGACCAAGTATTTGCATGACATCCTGCTGGTTTGTCTCCTCCTTTGCCTTCTTTGCCTCTTATTTGTATTCTTTTATCTGTTTTACTGCTGTGGTTGGCTTCCACCCTTGTCTTAGTTTTACTGGCCGTCATCATGATGTGCCTTGAGATAATAATATTATAAATACAAATACAAAAATACAAAATCTATGGGGCTTACTGGGATTGTGATGCGCGACTCAGGTTGCAACTGTTGATGGCCAGTAGCTTATCACCTTCGCGTAACTTGCCACTCTGGAACGCGACACCGACACACACCGACACACACGCACACACACACGCACACACACACACACACACACACACACACATACACACATACACACACACATATACACACACACGTGCACACACATACACGTGCACACACACATACACGTGCACATACACACATGGACAGTACCGGCATTATAGCAACATGTACACCCAGGAGACGAGTAACTTAGCTGTTTGGCTGCATGTAATCTTACGTCAGGGATTGAAGCGTGACGGACACATATACTCGTCACCTGTGTTCGTGCACACAAGAATGTCAAGAGTCCTCTAAACAGGGACTGTACCTGGTAGCATGTGTTGTAGAACGTTATTTTGTGTATGTCGTGTGTAGACCTACGTGGTGTTGGTGCATGCGCGTGTTGCTGTGGGGTGAAAAGCAGTCTTCGTCTTGAGTTTTTCATGTCTAGTTGTGTTTCCGTAGTCATCTTGTAATAAACAGTCTTCTAAATGTAGTTACCGTCGTCCAATTGTATACGTGTGGAGATTGCACGGGGCTGGGAGCAGGTGGAGAAAGGCATCTACAACATTGATGGCAGCGGTGGGATTCGAACCCACGCCTCCGGAGAGATTGGTACAACACATACACATACACAGGTACTGGCTTACCTCTGCTGCTGGGTAACCGGGAACAAGAGAGGAGATGTACAGGCCAGGAGCTGCGCCCATTAGCTGTGCAAAACACACAAACATATGTACATGCTGACCAACCGGACCGGTTCCGCCAGGGCTGATATCACCGTCTGTATTCGCAGCAGAAACCAGGGCCCCGGGCGTAGCAGCCGGTCCGGCCGTTGCGGCTTTGGCGCCAAATTGGCGGACCGTTTTTTGGAAATGGTAACACAATGCCAAAAGTGCCCGGAATGCAGGATTGTGGACCCTAATTTCAAAATTTTCCCGAGGGGGGGACCCTGCATCCCCCTCCAGCCGGACCCCCTCCAACAGCGGTGCTACGCGCCTGGAAACACGATAGAGGATTGATCATGATTGACTTACTGTTCCATCAATCAGTCCCATTCCGATGCTACCGGAGTCTGTCTTCTTCAGGTTGACCACTACAAACTCGTCCGTACTGTCGGTGTCCACTAGCTCGGAGTGCAGAGCCTGTGTCGACCGTGATATGTTTCTGTTCAGTGTGGATGTCGGGGAGGTGGTGAGACTGGACGGCGGTGAGGACCAACGACCGCGTGATGCGCCTGCAGTCACTGCCACCGAAAGCGGTAGTCTGAACTGGACGTGTTACTGTACTTCTACCGCATTCGTCCTCACTCTGTCCTCAAGATTTCTCCTATGCGTACGATGCTTTGCTGGGAGCCCACCGGTGTGGTCTTCTCGGCTACTCCTGGGCTAGGCCTGACTTCATCATTATTCTCATCTTGAGCGCCAGGCTGCCTGGACCCGTGATTTTGTGGAAGCTGAGCTGTCCTCCAAGAACTTTGTTGATTCTGAAGCTGATAACTGTCTGTTCGCCGTTGGTGATCCCATTCTTCTACGTCGATGCCATCGTCGCCAGAAATGTGAAGCGCCATATGACCGTGAGTGGGTAGTAGATCACATTGTGTCCCCTCTACTGTGGTAATTCACAATGAGGCTAGTAGTATAGGGGAGGGGTTCTGGCTCACCTTCCAGGTGAGCCAAAATCGACTTTTTCGATCGGCCCTTCGGGCCTCCCTCCAAAGGCCAAATAAGGCACACCTCCAAGTACTAATTGTACAACTCCAAACACTGATCCCATGTTGGCTCAACCCAGTTCCAGAAAAGTGAGTCAACTTGCTGTCTCCGAGAAAATCGAAAGTGAGCCAACTTCAGCTTTTTACTTACCCCATCTTGGCTCACTTCGAGGACTGATGTGGGATCGGTTTCTGAGCCAACTTCGGGTGGTTCAGCTATGGATGAGGATTCCTCTTTCTATGATAATTTTTTTTATTTGTCTGTGAAATATACCAGCAGTAATGGGGATGAGAAGAAGAAGAAGGAAAAGGAGGTAAATCAAGTTGTCTGATTTTCCCGATGTTCCCGATGTTATCGGTGTTGTCGGTGTAAATCTCGATGTAATTCCCGATGTTCCCGATGTAATTCCCGATGTTCCCGATGTAATTCCCGATGTAATTCCCGATGTTGTCGGTGTAAATCTCGATGTAATTCCCGATGTTCCCGATGTAATTCCCGATGTTCCCGATGTAATTCCCGATGTAATTCCCGATGTTGTCGGTGTAAATCTCGATGTAATTCCCGATGTTGTCGGTGTTGTCGGTGTAAATCCCGAAGTTCCCGATGTAATTCCCGATGTAATTCCCGATGTTGTCGGTGGTGTCGGTGGTGTCGGTGGTGTCGGTGTTGTCAGTGTTGCCGGTGTTGTTAGAGCTACCGTTGTTGGTATTAATCTTGTTGTTGGCTTTCCCGTTGTTAGCGGTGCTACCGATACTGCTGGTACATTATCAGGAGGAAAAGTGGTTGTGAAGGAACACAGGCTATATGGGTAGATTGATCGTACCAAGCACATCTGGTAATGACATCGGATCAAAATCTGACCTAGACTGGTGTAAGTTTCTTGGGTCATTTTCAGGATCAACACTCATCGAACAGCTGGAACGTTTTATGACATATACAACAGCACCAACTATAGGAATGACAATCAGAGATAAAAGATAAAGATTGGGGTCTGTCAAATGAGGGTTATCCCCGTTTCCTGGTTTCGTCTGATCGTAAGGTGGTTGTGTAGTGATATGATCTGTTGGTGGTGATGTTTCACTAGGGATGTCAACCGGAGTTGGTAGTAAGTGCGGGCCGGGCGGGTTCTGGCACACTTTTTGACCTTTGACCTTTGGGCCAAATAAAGCACACCTCCAAGTACTAATTTTACAACTCCAAACACTGATCCCATGTTGGCTCAACCCAGTTCCAGAAAAGTGAGTCAACTTGCTGTCTCCGAGAAAATCGAAAGTGAGCCAACTTCAGCTTTTTCACTTACCCCATCTTGGCTCACTTCGAGGACTGATGTGGGATCGGTTTCTGAGCCAACTTCGGGTGGTTCAGCTTTGGGTGAGGATTCCTAATTATTCTGTATTAGAGGAACGGTTGCCATAGGTATAACCAACGATTCTACACAAACTTTCCAAGATGACAAGCAAGAAGCCAACCCCGTTTGACACAGCTACTGTTCTCAATGACTTCATTGATTGTCGAATTACAATCAAGGATGGGAATAAATGTGGTTCACTGACAATCAATGGTAAGGAACCATACATAAAATTCAGTGATGAGACAAATATCATGAATGTTGTGAAGAAAGGACAAGAGGATTCTCTGAAATTTTCTTCTGACAGTGACATTTGTAAATCCATCCGTTGTATCGAGAAGCAGATAGAATCCGAAGGAAATGTGGTCAGAAGCAGGATTAACACAGCAAAGTGTGACCACCCAATCCTGTTTCTCCAGATTTCTCCTGATTGTGCTATCTTTGATGAGGATAACAAACCATCAAAAACCAACAAGATCAAGCAAGGTGACACCGTCAATGGTATCGTTCACCTGAAGTGGATTTACAAAGACAAGACCGATGACACTCTCAGTCTCAAACTTGTTGTTGCTATAAAGCATTTCCAGAAAGAAGAAGTGAAATTCTCAGCAAACGATTTGTAAAAATAGTCAAACAATCCACAAAAAGCAAAATATATATTTTTTTAGAAGTGAAATCATGGATGCCTGGTTTGATGACGACTACTCCACAAACAAAGAAGAAGAAGTGGATAGATGATGAACACTCTACCAGGAAAGATAAGATGATAGCGGACTACATTGACTATAGAAACCAGGAATGGTTTCCTACAGATATAGAATTGATGATTTTGGAAAATGAAGTAACTCCAGAAGATCTTGAGGTGTATGAGATGAAGAAAAAATATCTGTATGATACCACATCTTTCTTCGAAGAAATAGAAAAATCCAAAACCAGAACAGGAATCGAAACAAGGTTGGAGATAACCCTGAACAAGGTTGGTTTACCAAAATATCTTAGCAAAACCTCATTCAACAATCTTGTTGATAAAATTCAGAGGATCAAGGAAGTAGCAAATAAAGAGAAAAAAGTCAAAGTGAGTTATCCATTCCTACTTTCGAAACTCATTGATGATGAAGATGATGTGATCAAGATCAAACCATTCATTCCAAAGTGTAAAAAGTCACAACAAAGACTTGATGCCATATGGGAGAACTATAGAGAATCGAAAGTGTAAGAAAAAGTAAAAAAAATGTCTGTCTTTCTTTTTCCTTTTTTTTCCTTTTTTCTTTCTCATGATCACTGGACGAACTGCTTCATCATATCCGGAGCATAACTCATGAATGAAATGCTGCTATCAAACCCCTCCTCAGCCAGATATCTTGGTATTTCATGGTGTCCAAACGCTAACGTGCTACATCCATCTTCTGTGATGTATCGTTTTGTGTCCAATGGTGATAAGGCTATCTTATTAACCGTTTCTCCGAAAATAACGTGTCTATGACTCCGGAGTGTTGTCATTTCTCGATGGAACACGGATTGATCCAAGAGACAATTTCTGAAATCATCATGTGTGATAGTTTTCTTGAGCACTGCTGTTTTCACCCCCTTTGCTCTTTTTCCACTTTCCTCACCAGAGTAACTGTACATCTTGGAACGAAGTCCTACAAACTCAGTGATCAGTTTTCCACCGAGTTCATCTTTGAACAGGCCAACACCTTTCTTGTTTTTCTCGGAATATAACGGATGTGATTGATCATAATTGCTTGTATCATACTTCTCAAGAAACTCACTCATGTCAGCAAACAGATCATCAGTACTTTGTCTTGTCCCTCAAGTTTGGTACAAGTTTGAGAGCATCTACTCCTGAAGAATTGAGTTTATCAACAAGCCCCTGCTGGTATGGAGATAGCATGTCCTCATTGACGGAAAGACGTTCCGGAGCAACTGGATAATTGTTGTGCTTCTCATGAAGTTCGTGTGGATAATCCAGATCACACTCGACGATATACCCCGATGAGGAATCATCTTGAGTGTTCAGTATCTTGTTCAGGAGTTTCTCTGATGGTTTCTCCCACCGAAAATCAGACACTGGGAGATGCTGTGACATTGCCCAACCATAGAGATTGTTGGCATCGAGATACTGGATAAATGACGATGGCTGATCAGCATCAAATTTCTCCTGATAGTGATTATTAGCAGCAGCATATCGTTGTGAGACCATCGACACACCGCCTCTCATTCCTGATTCTACAAACAAGTGCTGATCATAGTCTGTTAGTAATTCCAAGGACACACCTGAGTACATCAACAGAGCATCCCAGGCAAATCCAGGCAGAGTGTAGTAATTTGCTGGATCCAGCTGATACGTTCTGACAGCTTCTGTAGAGCATGCAGATTCTTCAACCTTGTACCTGTTGCATTGTAGTCTAGTGCCTGTGTCACTGTAGCTTGGTGTGTTAAAACCTGTACAGTAAGAAGACTAGTATCCTTTGCATGTGAAGTTCGAACCTACCTTTTTCAGAAGCTTTCCTTTTTTTCTTTACTTTCTTCCAATACATGCCTTCTGATTGGCCGAATCTGTGCCATCTCTCATCTCCTGATTGGTCTAAACCGTTGCTCGTTGTTATGTGAAACCTGAACTCTCTTAGTCTTGGCACATATAAAAAGCTCTGTCTCTGAAGAAAGATCATCCTTCATTTCTTCAACCACTTCTCCTTGCTCTGGTGAGACTTGTTGGTTGTTGTGTGCCCAACCACTTGGGCCACGCTACAACTGGTGGCAGCGGTGGATGTTTCGGTTTTTTTTTCATGCTATGTTTTTGTTGTTGTGACAATGTGAAGTGATTCCTGGTTCTGAATGGCCCAAGCACAGCCTAACCAGCAAGTACCGCTTGCCCAGCCGCCCCGTCCGGCCCAGCCTGCTCAGCCAGCCCAGCCAGTTCAGCCAGCCCAGCCAGCACAGCCAGTTCAGCCCGCCCAGCCAGTGCAGCCAGCCCAGCCAGTTCAGCCCGCCCTGCCAGTTCAGCCCGCCCAGCCAGTTCAGCCCGCCCAGCCAGCTCCCGTTTGACCCATCCCGCCATGGGCAACTCCGGAACGTTTTGATGGTGGAGCAGCCTCGGACTGGACTACTTGGCGTGACCACTTCACTCAAGTTTGCCTGGTTAATCAGTGGACGCCGCAGGACCAGGCACAGTACATCCCGTTGTACT